CTTTCTTTCGATAAAGAATCCATTCAGGCCAAGAGCTATTTAGAAGATACTTTAAAACCGCTGGTCATCTCATTATGATGAATAACCCAGTATAAGCCATGTATTCCACCTCCAAACAGGATCCTACAAGACTTCTAAGGGGTACCTGGCGGTGCACTTCTGAGGATGACGGCTAACAGTTATCCAACACCGCGGCGTAAAAAGATGGGTTGTGGATAGTTCGTGGAGGGGTCAGATCAAAAGGATGGGTCGGGAGTACCTGCACTTCGGTCTGGATTTCTCGTTTCCTTCATACCCCAGCCAGGGAAATTCCCGACCTCTAAGATCTGGTGCCAATTGGTAATTTACCATTTCCAACCAGTCTCATCTTAAGGGTTCTTTTTTCGTGATGGAACCATGTAGGTCCCAATCAGAGTTTTCACCTCAATGGATGTTTGCGACCCTATTTAAGCTGTCCCTGTGATACGTCCCGTATGTTGGCTGGGCCAGGGAGCATTCGATTACAAAAAGGGATCCATTCAGGCCAAGAGCTGAATCGAAGTGAAACCATTACGAAATCATGCACACAATAGCCTATTCAATATGAATTTCTACAAAAACAGCAGGAGGTTCGATCGTTTCGCGAACAATTCCAATGGGAAATCAAATTGGAGGCAAACCCACAGGGGCCCAGAAAACTGCTATGTCATGCTCTCCTGAGAACCTCCTACGGCAATTATCGAAGTCTGAAATCCTCATCTCCAAAACTCATGGGAAAGGTGTAATACAATAGAAAATGTCATGGAATCGCACCCACAAATAATAGCTGATGGAGTGATTCTAAGGGATAGCAGTGGGGAACAATGCCTATGATTCTATTCCCCAGGGATCTGAGACTTTTCAAGGAAAACTTGAACAATTCGGATTGCTCCTAACAACAATTCAGTTGACAATAAAGTTTTCACAGCAGCAACTTCTCAGGCCAACGTATCACAGCTAACCGGTTGCCGGCTGCATTGCTACTGGTATTAACAACTAGGGGGTGGGGAAAGTAAGTGCAGGAAATCTCGCATTATTTTCAGAGTTTCCAGGGAATTTCTAGAAACTTCCGTAGGGTTATTATGTAAGGACATCTAGGAACACCTATACGCCTAACAGATCTCGCTACCTCTTCCTTGCTTATTTAACCAATATGGTGATCCAACTGTTTACCCATTTTGATATAAACTTCATCACAACAGCACGAACTTCAACATCCGGCCACTTCGCTTCTGGAACCCATTGAAATTTGTGTCAAGCATTTGGCCTCGAAGCCCCTTCAAGTGGTTTTGAACACCTCCAGCCTGGAACAGAATAGTCGAAGATGAACCACAATCTGGACAATTGATAGCGATACTCTGAATACCCTGATATGTTAGGCGCCTACAAATGGGTAGTTTCCTTCGAGTCCAAAAGTTATCCCTGGCTCCTGCTGGGGTTTTCGGCAGTCACTTTGAGCCCAGAATGCTTCCCTGGCCTTTGCGGAGGAAGAAAAAAGGCCTTTGCATGTTCATTTGGAGCAAGAGAACAGTAAATGTTGGGATAGCTAGTAATTCATCTAGCAAAGAACGAATTCAAGAGGTTTCGTCAAAATCCATGAGATATGACTTTCTGTAAAGCTCAGGAGATGAAAGAGAGCACCGCGATGACCTTGATGTTTGGAAAAGCTCTCGATAGCTGATATCACCTGAAATCGACCAACCGGTTTCATTACCAGGAATCCCATCTTATCGCGCTTGATCATAACTCTCCTTAACCGCATCGACCATTTCAGCCCTCTAGGGGAGACGGACGTTAGAAACGATTTTGGGTAATCGATCCGCCGCACGCGGGCGCGACGCCCCTCTCACCGCGACGCGACCATTTCGTTCCTAACGCACCACACCCGCCCTCTAGTTAGGGCACAAGGTGATTCAATTCAACAGGTGAGCAAAGTTGGTTTGCGGCGGATTATGAGGCAAAGGGTATCCTTGATGTCAAAGATGCAAAGTGGTCGGGTAATGAGTAAGTGGATTTCTTGAACTGGGAAAAAAACAGGAGAGTTTGCTAGTCTGGGGTAGAAGAGGGGAGGGGAAATGACGGCTTGTGATGAGAGAAGGAGGAAGGCTAAGGAGGTTCGTAATGACGATACCATTTTTTGTAGTGTATGCTTTACTTTGCACTCAAGTACTTTATAACAAGCGCACCTCTCGCAGGAAACTTGTCTCAGACCATTTCATCCCAGTTTCCCTGATGTAAACTCCCACGCAGTAGTCTTAGGTGATGGGTAACTGTGCTGTAAATTAATCAGGGTTGGAGCATTCAAGTTTCCCTTCTAAGCATTTCTTCATGAGTAGCTCCACCTCCTTTGCCGGAAGATCAACGGTTTGTTTATAGAATAAATACGGCGATAGGCATTGCAGAATAGCTAGAATTCAATGGAGCATTACGTTTTGAACCTTTTCGATTGCTCAGAATGAATTTTGATTTCTTTTGAAGTCGTGGGACTCTGGTGTGCCTTCAGTAGATGTTCTTGGGAACCCACTCACGAAAGCCAACGATTCGATTGATAGTTCTTATCACGTCATCGGGAAGACCCATTTGTATTCAATGATGTATTGCTGATAACGATGATGACGTTGTGGTGCTGATGTGAAACCGATCACAATCGGTCAATAGAAGCTTGAAAATGTCGGGAAAATGACGAATCTAGGCGGTTTCAACGTCAGCTACAGCTTCCACCATCAGCTTCGCACGTGAATTATAAGGGCAATGAAAGAAGACGGAGCCTAGAAATGAGTGTTTGGTACTCCTACTGGGAATTAGGCTCACGTCACCGGAAATGAGTTCTTCGAACACTGACCGCCACCCAAGCTTTGCTCCGCAATGGCTCACCCATCCCATGTTCTAATCGGGAACTAATCCCTTAATGCTAAGTCTCACGGACCACAAGACTGAAACATGACGTAAGCCAACAAAACGAAGAGTATGAGAAGCTGCTTACTCTACGGAAATGAATTTTCTTCGCAAGAACACTCGTCAACCGCAACTTCACGGGTGTGCCTTCAAAGGAGAACAACTAGCCCCACCCTCAATCATCACCAATCCGCCTACTTTGTCAGTGAAGCACAAACTTGGTGGAAGAGATTTTCGGGCTAGCAAACGTTGGATCGAAAAGAGCCATCTTTCTGGCCTCTTTGGACTTTTGCGTCGTTTTTGAGCTGGAGAAATCAGCAGGTACCAGTCGTTTTTGACCCAAAGAGCCATTTCCACTTTTAATCCGATTTTTCCTTTTACGTATTGACGTCAACATGCGACAGCAACTAGTTATCAGAGGTGATGACGTGATGCTGTTGGCCGAAGACGACGAAAGTAAGTTTGGCGGAGACGAGGTTTCCTCAAATTTAGAACAAAAACAGCTGAAAATCGTAATCTTAGGCTCATCCAAAAATGCACGCTTTATTGGTAGGACAACCGCGGCCAATGAACTTACCAAGGTGAGCCATGCTTTTGAATTCCAGTCAAAACGAATGGGGGTTAAGAACGGATCTTAATGCTCCATCTTCATTTCCAGAAAAAAGTGTTGGACTTGATGTTTCCATCCTCACGGCCAGGTACGCTACCCTCTACATATGTCGGTGATCGCGAGGAAACCACCAAGGTCTATTACCGAAGTAGCACACAGTTTAGTAAGTTACTCAACTCAACTAAAGTTTACTTCTGTCAGTAGCACCCAGAGCATTCGTTCGGGAATTGTTTGGGCGACTTAAGGAAATGTTTACTGTATGTTTGGCACTCACCCATTGCTCTGTTCTTCGTGGTATAGTAAAAAAGGGGCATAGGTCGAGATGAGACGATTGGCCATTACCACAAGCGTGGTCAGGGATTGAATCTCATTGTCAGACTTACACCTGCTAAGCCAGCTTGGCCGGGAGGGATAAAAGTACGGTGGCCGGGTAGCAGAAGTATGGTTTCGAATCTCGTCCGAGGTCAAAATTTTGTCCATAATTCGCCAATCTTGTGAGACCTTCGTATTGTGAACTGCGGCGAAATAACAGCAGTAGAAGCACAGCACTTTGAGGTACCCCTTTTTGGTAGAAAAGTGGAAGTGATGGTGTAGAGGAGTACATCGATGGCAAGGAAAGCGAGAAAATCCGCCTACTTCAAGACTTCCCAAAAGTAGTGGAAGTGGAAGTTGTACGAGGTAATGGCATGCAAGGGATGTCTGGACGAGATTTAACTTGCTCCCATTGCTCAAAGGGATGACTACATCAAGCCGAAATTGTCTGAAACTGCCTTTCACTATCGCTATAGCCAATGAAACTCGTCCACGATGGGTGTGGCATTCGCACGACACAATCTCTGGCCCCTTACTGTGCCCTATTCAAAACCTTTTTCTACCTTATAATGGAGGTATGGTATAAGGGGAACCTCAAATTCATACTATAGGGAAATCGCAGAACTCAGAACCCATTTTTATCGTGAACTGTGCCTTTAAGGAAAACATCAAATCAATCCAAGATATGGGAATGATTGAACAGTACTAATTCCTACTTGGGAGGATAAAAACAAGCCTTGCTTAAGCCAAATGCGGTTTTAATAGCCACTACGACTTCGACTGTGAGTGGAAGTTGAATGAGTGGGCGCATTTACAGAACGGTATCGACCAAGACTTTATTTAGTCAATTTCAAATAACCCATATCAGATGACCAATCTCTAATTTCGCAGTGGTCTAGGAGGGCTTATAAAATAGAGATCATAGAGATATTTAGTCATTATTATTGATTATTCCGAATTATACAAAGCAAGAAGGAATCAATAAAAGACGAATAACAAGGAACTAGCTAGGGGAACTGACTGTACAACTGATTACGATTCTGGTAGAAAGTTGAAAGCAAACATTCAAAATGAGCTGTTTAGAAAAGATGGAAAATTTTGAAGGAATAGATGCTTCAGTTTGTTGGCAAGTAACTTTTCAGATCAATTATGGTTTCCAGACATTTCAGTCGCCGTCACAGGCATAGTCACAGTGTACGAATGCTCTTTCAACGAAATCTAGTCGTTGAAGTTTCTTTTCCAATGGATGACAAACATCATGTGTAACCTGAAATGAGCCTGGATTACTGGACCGAATAGTTTAGTTACCATTTTCTCTGCACTATACGTTTTTGTACGAGTTTAATGCGGGAGCGAAGAGATGTAACATCTAGGAGAAGCTCCGGCAGGAAAGCCTCACATACCTTCAGAGGTAAGTTTTCATCCATGACAATATGCAGCTCGACAAAAGCTTTTGTACCGGTGTGATAAACCATGAGATGATCCAAACAGCTGAACAAACTCAATTTGTGTAATGCAAACATTCAACTGAAGTTCAAAAGATAATGAGATGCTGTCAGTAAGCGGGTAAGGTGTGGCGTGCAACCGATTCTAGACAGGTGTCTATATAGAACGATGGATGGGATGAAATTTGGGGAAAGTGTACGTTCAGTTGACATGGGAAAGAACATTCAGAGCTCGACGAAATCATCTATTCCAAACTTTTTTGACTTTTGGACTTTTGGAGGGAAAAAGTGGTTCTGCCTAGTAGTCTATTCCACTACTACGCTGAAGATCATAACAAGGAGTAGCGAAGGGGGGGGATTAAATGGGAGGGATGGAGCTAGGGTGAGAAGCACGTTCCTAGCTGTCAGATATGGTTGCCTAGAAGCAATCTTTACACTTTCCGCCAACCCCCACCCTTCCACATGTCAAAGCCTTATGAGTCCATTGGAAGGTCTATTGGATTTCTGACTCTCTTTGTTTCTTTGTTTATTACAATTGAAACGAACGTCACGGAGGTTGTAAAGTCCCGAATAGCGTCCTATCACTGGAGATGAATTGGAGATTGAATCATGGATCGGTACCCGCTTGAACAAATCAATCCTTTCATCCTTTTGGGTTAGGTTGTTCGGGATCAGACTCGTCTGGGAGGATCACTAACTTTACATCTTCTAGTGACAGCGATGCAATGTATAGGTTGCATATGCATTTACAATGTTACTACGACTCTTGATGGGGGTCGAATACACGGGGGGGGCACATCCCAACGAAGGGGGGGGGGGGGGGGGG